TTTCAGCTCCATTACAGACACAAAAAAATAACCCAATCAGTTAAACAAACTACATCGTACGCGTAATGCCTTTGCTAAAGCGGCTTTTGAAGCCACCTGCTGAGAAAGAAATAGTTGCCAACCGTTCATATTTCCTCTGTCACTACGTTCGAATGATGACGAGAACTCCGACGGGTAGGGGGTTGACAAATTAAACGAGCTCAAATGTCATAATTACAAAAACTCACAATACACTGGTTGATCTACAAAAAAGATAGGATAAAGTACCTGGTATCATATGTAGAAAAATCTGAGTTATTAGTGTTTTGCGAGGAAGAAAGTGGCTAAATGAAGAAAACCATGAATAGATTAAGATGACATAATGAAGGCCACTACTTACCAGTAAAAAGTAATTTGACCCAGAAGACAGATTTTCAGAAGCCGCTGCCGCTCTTTCATCCTGGTTAGTTACTGCAACTGCATATCCCGCGGCTAACCAGGAGAAGCTATAGGCTATAATCACAAACAACTTATAGCTCAAATAAAATTTTAGGCGAAACAATAAAAAAGAGGAAATGTGGCCAAGGCTAAAAAAATGTTTCACACCAGATATAAAGTAAGATATTACGAACTCACAATCAAGAAGGCTCCCGACATGTTCCGACATCCTTCTCCCGGTAATACATCGGCTGAAGCTCTAAAATAGACCTGAATGTGTAAATTATCAGTGAAATGACAACAACAAAAATAAAAACGACAGAACACGGACACAAGATTAAGCGCACTTGGTCAAAACCCCAAAATTCGCCGAGGGATGCAAAGTTCTTTTTATAAAGGTCGAGCCAAACAAATTTCAGCGGTGCTAGAGAATACCAAAAACAAGAGAGAAAGGTTTCAAGAAAAAAAATTCGCTTGCATAGATTGATCATGGTCGCATCCGGCAGTCTATGACAATAAGTTTTGAATTTCTCCAAGTTTTCCGATTTATTACTAGCCCACTTCGCTGATTCTCCGCTTTTCAAGAAGTGAATGTGCTGAAAAATCCTTGTGAATTCTATACTGCTAACATACTTCAGCTCTTTTGTCCCTCGATGTGGACTATACAAGCACTGGCCGGGCGCATTCATAGTACGTGCGTCACAACCAACGCAAATGTGTGCGTCAGGAAGCAGAAACTATGAACGGGTGCGCTGTTTGTAAGGGGACTTGCCGTAGGCCAAGTTCACGCGGCGCAACTCGATCGATACTGGGTGCTTTTAGAGTTCAACGGCGCGCAAGTTTTCAACCGACGACCGGCGTCGCTGGCCACGTGTTGACAACACAGGACAGATGACGTTTGG